CACACTTTTGAATTGGATGTTTGAAACCCTTCAGGACCTGAGTTTTTTTTTTTTTTTGTTTAATTCATTAATTGCATTTCAGGACCTGAGTGTTTCACAGGGCCAGATAAGCTTTTTATTTTTCAAACGCAAGTCTGACACGGTTCAACTCGTGGATCACATTAACACGGCGGCCCAGCCCCCGGCACTGTCAGTTCTGCGGGGGTACAAGAGACTGTTTAACGTAGTACTAGCTAGTGCGTGAATTAAGATACGCAGTCGTGATACCACACAACCCGCGGTTTGGGGACGGGTTTGATAGTTGATAGCCTAGATAGCTCAAAATGAGTTGAGGAAATTATAAAGGGTTTGAAAACCCGGGGCTTCTTTTTCTTATCTGAAATTTCAGAATATCCAATGGAGCAGTGATGTGTAATGGAATCATAGGTTATCACTCGGTGCGACATAAACTAAAAGAAAAGGACTGCTAGAGGGAATGGAAGGTCTGTGCGGGTGTTTCCTCCGTTCAATTACATCTGGCGGCTTTGATGCGCAGGTCATTATAGCCCGGATCGCTGTAGAATGCTATCGACCTCTGGGGCGCATTGAAAAAATGGCATTTTCGGCATTTTCCTGCCCCAATAAACTCCTTTCTATGGAAGTCCGATCGTTACATGTAGGTGTAATGGTGTTAGAACTATGATCTAGAGCGCAGGTCGGAGCAATTATACTTTTCATTGTTACTAGCTCGTTGAGTCAGCGAAGAAACGACTGGTAACGCATTGCCTGATAGGAGGGGTTGAGGTAGGGTAAAATGTTTCTACTGTGAGGGCACAAGCCTCGGTTTCGTGAAGTGGGACAGGAGCAAATTTAGTCACCCCGGAGTTGTAAATGCGCGCAATCCTTCTTATGTCTCAGTTTCTGCGGGAATAGAGGCAAGGATAAATTAACGATTGGGGGGAAACACGGGCGTGAGTCTTACTGGTACTAGTGGGTATCTTGGCGCACAGATGCTCACTCGGATAGAGAACACTCGCTCACGGAACCTCAAGTAGCCTGATAGAGAACACCCTCAAAGTTGTAGATTGAGGGGTGTATGAATGATAAGGATTTCAGCTTCTGTAGCTTCACGATTGTATTCCTAGTGTGACCCCGCTCCCACTCACTCGGGCTCGGTCGCTATCGCTCTACGTGGTTTAGCCGCGCCCGGCCCTGTCTCCTACTCTGGCGGCTACAGTCTCATACTGTGGTCTCTGAAGAAACCCCTCCAGGGCCAAAAGGAGATGTTGCTTGGTTGATTGTTTGATAATCCATTGAATGAGTGAGAGGTGGCTTGACCACTACGGAGATATTCCAACAGGTGGCTAATCCTGACCAGAACCATACAGCCGCGTGAGTTCACCCTTCTCTTCTACTGACACCCCATCCAAGTTATATTTCCGTCTCTGGCATGAGGTCAAGGCATTCCGTCTAAAATTCCTTAATCAAAACGGCAGTACGTTATACAGCATATCATAGAGTTAGTTGAGTATATTCACATGAGAACGTCTGCAACTATCGTATGTCGGCTACTTACCGCGAGGATGAAACCGCCAGTTCCCGATGCGATAGCGGGTTGCAGCTTGAAATGTGGTTGAAAAGTCTCTCTCTCATCGGGTTCAAACACACATCGCCGAGTACGATACGTCGATTTCCGTCATGGAATAGCACTCGCGGGAGCACACGACAGCCCCGATATTTATAGCATCGCCGCACGTGCCCACGGAAGAGTGAACCATGTCACGCGGCCAGTCGCCTAGATCAATCTAGCGATGCACCCGCGGGGCAAGGATTAACAAGGTGCATACCCCTAGCCGAGGTTTGGCGGCTTGGTTTCGAGATTTGGAGGATGAACGGACACTTACTTTTACAAAACTCTGGAGATGGGGCACTTTATCGTTGCCCCTCCACGATAAGTGACTTTGGACATCGAGTTTTCAATACCGTAGACTCTCGAAACTCAAATATTGCGAGACGCGTGTAATGTTTTATCCAAACCTTGTGATCTTGACCGAAAGTCTTGGCCGTCAGTATTCGGCTCTTTACTCCCGAAAAGGAGGATTCTCCAGGGTCCAAATGGGAATCTTCATCCCTTGAGGCTGGAGTGGAGTGTCTATGTGCATCGGGGTAGCTGAGGGTTCACCGCCCAGTGCTAGATTATTTTTTTCTTTCATTTAGCTATTATACATACCACGTCTAAACCCTCTTTTAACCTTACCTCTTCTCTCCTTGTCATTCCCAGCACAGCATCAAGGCAGATACAGACGGACGACCTTGGACACACGACGTACTGCAAATCCTTCTTGTCAACAACGATCTAGATACAGGTTACACGCCGCGGACACAGCTCTTGTGCCTATCTATTTCATAAATACTGCTATCGCACTTCTGGCCATGTCCAGCCTTCAAGTCCAACATGAACGGCAACTAGACACACCGTCGTCGGCGTCATCGTCACTGTCAGCTTCACCTAGTGGAGAGTTTCCACTCCACCCAGATCATGGCATCTATAGCTATGGCTCTACTCCGATCGTCCAGCCAGTCCTTTCCCGGACGCCATCAAACATTCCCGTATCTTCCGAAAACAACTGTTCAGATCCTTCAAGGCGCAGACCATCGCGACTAGATTCCGCGAGCGGACGTTTAAAGGAGCATCGTTCTGCAGCAGCCGCAGATGAGAACACGGCACTTGCCACTCGAGGCGACCCAAGGAACTATGCAGCGACTATAACGACAACCAATCAAGAGAGCATTCGAGAAGATGTCAGAAAAACGTCAGACGGCTGGCTCGGGAAATTCGGTGCGATAGAGCTGGAGAACAAGGGCAGTGTTGCGAGAGACCATCTGGCTTTAGGTGAGTCGACTTTCCCTGTTTTGTGGTGATGATTTCATTCGCTGGGGGAGGATTATTGTTTTTCCAGGCCACACCCATCTTTCCTTTTTCTTGTCCTGCTTTACTTTTCCCAGCCGGCACGATCGCTAATCGTAACCCTGGTAACAATAAAAGAGCGAACGTTTCTAGCGTGGCTGAGAACTTCCCTTGCATTTGCTTCGATCGGTATGTTATCTCGAATTCTTTTTTCCCCATCATATCCCGAATGCGCGGACGGCTCGTGTCATCACCAATCATTGGCCATCACCACCTAAACAAAACTGGGGGAAAGCCTTGCTTACTTTTTTTTTTGCTTTTCCCGTGCAGGCATAGCCATAACCCAGCTTTTCCGTCTCAACGCCTCTGTCGTCACTTCCCCGAATCCATCTGGTAAGTTGCCATTGCATTTTGCATTGCGTTGCTCCGTTTTAACATCCCATTCCTGGCCGTGGTCGTGGTGGTTGTCGTTGGTTCATGGACAATCACCCGTATGTGTTGTCAGCGTTGGCCCGGCCACACCCGCATATCCGTCGTATCAAAAACTCTTCATATGTCCATCCAGAGTAACTAACTCCTTTGACCTCCTATTAGATGCAGGCTACACGCCGCTCCGTCACATGGGCAAGCCCCTCGGCGCCACCTTTATCGGCATTTCATTGCTGGTTCTGATGATTGGTGTTAACCGGTCCGTTTATTTCCTACTATGCCTATCCTGTGCCCCGCACTTGCCCAATATCAGGGGGTAAGAGATCATGATCGCCACAGTGGACTGACCCCGTATCTAGATACTACGAATCGCAGACCTGGCTTATGAGAGGAAAGTTTCCCGCCAGTCGTGGAAGCATATTTCTATTGACTCTGGTGGCTTGTTTGGTTTGTTTCACTCCTCCGCGGTGATTGTATTACAGGGGCTGACTTATCAAAGCTTATGATTACGACGCTGGTGGTTGTGTTGGTTGTACAGCCAAATGACTATGAGTTGTAGGTAATGGTAACGTTTAATGAAGTGATGGGTTGTTGGCTTCTTATTCTTTTTTTTATTTCGGTGTTTTGTTTTTTTGGATTAGCATGGTCTGCATCTGGTGTTTTGACTTCTTTGCTCTTTACTGCTTGCTGCTGGTAGTTATTACTACGGCGCATGCTGCATTGTGACTAGTACATACGCGGGTGGAGGATGGCTAGATCAAAATTTCTTGTATGGGAAATTTCGATGCCATTCAACTAATCACTCAAGTGGTAATCCCTGGACGGAGATAGCTAATTTTTCGAGTTTTGGCGGTATGTGTATTTCTAGCGGCTCTGATCCCCCACGGAATTTCTTTTGTTTTCTTCATTTTTTGTAGGATATCCACTCTATAGTCGTTCATAGGGTGAGGACGAACACTGGGTGAAGACGAACCAGGGTTCTCAATATGGCAAGAAACAGCCAAGCTGCCCAAGTGATCTTTCTATTTGTCCAAAAATCCTTGTTCGTCTACACCCAGTGTTCGTCCTCACCCTGTGAACGACTGTACTTGGCCGGGCTCTCTATAAGTTGTCGATACAAATATTAGGATAATCAACTATTCTCATTACAGTCGCCGTTTTTTTACACTTTCCGTTAGACAGCCTTTGGGGTGAACAGAATGCTATTCCCGACTACAGATCTACAGTTCCTAGTTATAGATAGAGCCCACGGTAAATGGGCGAGCTTAAAGCTCCCCGCCTTTACTGGTCCTAATCCAATTCTCCGCAACCATCTTAGACGGACAATAGTAGCAAACGTCATTATTACTGCCAGCAAGTAACAGACGAAGGGCCCGTTTGGCAACAGGCCAAAACGGAGTTTACAGAGGTAAAAGCATCATTTCGAATTCAACGAGGACACTTTCACTATTTTAAATTCCGTTCCGCCCAGGTACCGAGCCGCCCCTAACACATCCGAGCTCCCCAAAGCTATCATCAAGTAGGGAATCGTTAGCTCCATAAACCAAGCTGCTGCTGCGCTGCTCAGGAGGCCATGATAGTCATTAGTTAGTGGTCATAGTAGTGATAACAATATGTAAAGCAGACTGTACATCAAGATGTATGTACAGCCCGCACGCAAAAAGGCCCCTGCAAAAAGTCCGTACTACCGTTGCAGGTCCGGGATAACGTCCTCTATATCGGCAATGTTGGCACTGTCACCTTCACCTTCATCTTCGATTTTGACTTTCCGTCTCTTGCTCTGTACGGGGCTCATGCTCTCCCCTTTCTCCATCTTGATACCTGGCTCCTCCTTTATGTCCTTCGCTGCACTTTCATCTGCGCCATCCTCCTCTTTGATCTCTTCTTCCTCTACATCCTCCTCGTCCTTTACTTCAGCCTTTACAGCATTGCCCCTCCGCGCCTTTGGCACCCCAACCCAGGCCCCTCGACACCACCCTGTTTCAGCGAGACTACACTCCCCACACCTGCGTCCTCTAGGTAAACACACGCTCTGCCCAAAGCCAACAAGAAGGTGATTAATCTCCCTCCACCTGTCTCTCGGCAGCCATGCCTCTAGTGCGATCCTTGTCTCCTCGGGCGTGTTGGTGCTCACCCATCCCCACATATTAGTGATCCGATGGACATGCACGTCCACGCCAATACCCTGCGTATCATCCCAGGCAGCCGACATACACAAGTGTGCCATTTTTGGCCCAACCCCAGGGAGAGAGCAGAGGTCTGCGATAGTGTTGGGGATGTCGCCGCTAAAGCGATCGCGTAGGAGGACCGCGGTGGATTTGAGGTATATTGTTTTACGGTTGTGGAAACCAACCTGGGCACAGGTTAGTTAGGGTGGTGGTGGGGGTGGAAGGGAGCCCGGGGGGGGGGGGGGGGGCAAACGATGTGAATGAGCTCATCGAGGCGCTTTGGCTCTACGGCGAGGATGCTCTCTAAACAGAGACCCCCAGGGAGTCCCTCCCGAAGCTGTTTCATAGCAACGGCGTTAACAGTATCCTTCGTCTGACTGGAGAGCATGAGGGACACGAGGGTTTGGAATCTGCGAATCTTGGGGGTTGAGGCAGCGTCCGCGAGGCGCTCGCAGCCCATGGTGTCTACTGGGGCGGGGATGCGGGAGCGCATTTCGCGGACAGCAGCGTACATCGCTTGCCAGTTTGGCGGAGGGTTCGTGGAGGGTGTGCTGTTCTTTTTGGTTGTCCCATGCTTGCGTTTGTTGGTGCTGGAGGGCTTGAGGTGTGCAGGCAGGTCGCCGAGTTCGGGGGAGGGCTCCGCCTTTATTGCTTCCTCTATCTTCGCTCCTAGTTTTCCACGCCGCCCCCTACTGTTTGCTGGTAATCGTGACTTCTGGAAGTACCGCGATGTTGTTTCTTTCTCGCCATCGCTCAATTCGAACTCAGACGCAGTGTCAGAAGTAGCCACAGAGCTCAACTCGGAGCTTAGCGCGTCGTCGTCGTCGTCGTCGTCGTCGTCTTCACGTGATACTTCGACCTCTGGCTGTTGTTCCGGAGATCTCTTCCGTGCTACTGGGGGTGGTCGTGGTTGCGGTAGCGGTCGTTTCGTGAAATTATTATTATTATTGGTATTTGTATTGTTACTTGTATCAGCTACAAGTACTCTCTTGCCAACAGTCGCAGCAGCACGCGCTGCCTTCCGAGTAGACATCGTGATCGAGGTTGGTTGGTGGGTTGGTTGGTGGATGGGTGTTTATCCGGTTAAAGGTGACCTTACCCCCGGGATGTGATGTTGATGATGCTGTTGTTGTTGTGCGGTATGCAGGGCAAGAAGGCGCGAGGTGTGCCAGTGATGCAATCGAACTCGTGGATGTGAAGGTGTTTATTAACTGAGTTTGGTTGGACTGAACGATCACTCCCCAGCTTTTGATTTTTTGTTGGGTTGATTAATTCGAGTTGTAGTCGCGCGGTATGTGCAGGGGCTTTTCTGTGTTCTTTTCCACTGTCGTCATCTTATCAACAGCCTCTTGTGATAACCACTATTGGTTCGTGCTTTAGTAAGCAGCAGAGCGGCGGCGGAGCAGTGGCGCAACAGGGATCAACAACTCGCGTGCCAGTCTTGTCGTCTGTCAGAAGGATTTTCAGCATCGATCAGGAACCACACACACAACCGAGGAGTGGCAATAATGCAGCAAGTCTAGACTTCAGACCGAAATTTTTCTGTCGGAAACAGCGGTAGTGCCACTTCTGCGGCGGTGCATGTGCAGGTACTTCAGAGTAGGTACATAGAAGCCCGCCTAATTAATTGCTAATAACGGCCCGATCGCATGGCTATCATCATCCCTCCAGGTAAGTACGGGTACTTTGGAGGCCCATGCTGTTCTGGAGTGGAGCGAGTAAGACGATAATCACATGTGTAGGTAGGTGTTCTCTGTACAGTATGTATCGGTAAAAGTATGTAGAGCTGCTAGAGCATGTATGTAGCATACCTAGAGATCGAGCCTACCTGCCATTTGATCTGATCACGATAGCTCCAAGGGTTCAATCACCAACCGCCTAAGTAGATACATAAAGTACCATGAGGTGCAACATCCATCATCACTGAAACCCCACCTACCCGCATGCGGGAAAAAAACATCAAGCCCTTAGGTGGGGGAAGAGGAGGGGAAGGGAGCAGGATGTCGCATGACGATGCGGTTGAAATGGTTAATCGAACTGCTCGAGATGCTGCAGAAGAAGAAGGGGAGAAAGAAACTCCGAAACACCAAGATATATGCTTAGTGGGTGATTCTATGAAGTAGAGGAATAGTATTTACTTACTAGGGGCTCTATGTATCATATCCTTGAATCTCCTCGTCGGAGATACTGGAGTCTGGAGATACTGGTTAAGACCGTACCATTATTGTCATTCAGGTTAATAAGTACGATATCGACTCGACCTCGACAACAAAATCAGACTGGACTCGACAGGTACAGAGAGACCTTACCTACCTTACAGGCCAGCCTACCTGCAGATATGCTAGTATGCAGGCCAGACCGGCAGAGTAGGTAGAATGGTCAGATACTCTACACACACACACACACACACCCGTAGTAATCCAGGAACAGCATCACATCACATCAGCCAGTGTCACTGGCGAATAGTTAAGGGCATTTATCTATTGTTTGTCGTCTGCATGCAACCTTCTACTCTACAACCGCGACGCTGGCGCAGGTTCGGGAATGCACATCTAGAAAGGAAAGGGATGGATGTGGTGGGTTAGAAGCACGTCGAAACGCTTGCTAGCAGGTCGAAATCCACGAGTTGGTCATATCGTCCGTGTATCTGTCAACTTGCGGCATGTCCTTGCCGAGTATGTAGAGTACAAGGAGGTACATAGGGTTGGTTATGCTATTGGGGTTGCACTCGAAATGGCGGAAGCCCTCCATGTTTCTTATCTTTCTATACGCACGCAGCACATGCACTGTACTTTGTTTATACTCACTGCACCTGTTGCACTGCTGCTGCACCTTCTACACAAATATGACGGAGGATAGACTGTTTGGAAATTCCTTGCTTGCTTGCTATCGAGACTTCTATTATTCCCTCAATTCGCAACACAACAAAAAGGAGACAGGGCCCAAAATGTAAAAAAAGAACATCGCTGAACTGAAACTAAAACCCAACCCCGTCCCCCGTAACCAAAGAAATCTGGACAAAGAAAATCTCATAATTTACAGAAAGAGTATAAAACCCCCGAGGCGCCGGATATCTTCCTTGAAATCCTGATCGCAATTAAAGCCCCCCAGGCCGTCAACCGTCAATCTTAAACGGCTTTGGGGTGACGAACGATGACAAGGAATCGAGAGTAGAAAGGTATATATGCCGAAGAAATTGAGCCCGAATAAAGAATAGGATATGGGATAGACGAGATATTAAACCTTTCCGACGACTGTCCTTTCCGAGTTCAACTTCATCGCGTTTCGGTCATGTGATTCCTTTTTACAGTCCTCCAATCCTGTGCATTTGTGGTCTTCCAACAGACGATGTCGTCCGCAGTAGTGTCCATCGCAGAATGTGCAATCGCCGACGATCCTCTGAGCTGCGTTGGTGCACTCCTTGAAGTTGCATAATCTCTTCTTAGGGGCACCCCCTCTCAGCCGCAGAACAAGGTGGAGGGTAGACTCCTTCTGAATATTGTAGTCCGAGAGCTAGGGGATAAGCGTGTTAGTTATAGGAGACGCCAGGAAATTCGAAGTGTAAGCTTACAGTTCGCCCATCCTCAAGTTGCTTTCCAGCAAAGATCAACCTCTGCTGGTCTGGTGGGATTCCTTCCTTGTCCTGAATCTTACTTTTGACGTTGTCGATAGTATCCGAGCTCTCAACCTCCAGGGTGATTGTCTTGCCCGTCAGAGTTTTTACGAAGATTTGCATTCCTCCCCGTAGACGCAGGACTAAGTGGAGAGTGGACTCTTTTTGGATATTGTAGTCGGAAAGCTAAGAAGGGGAAGTAATTAGCGCCGCTTCTAAAGGTCTTGAGATGCGTCTCGATGACTCACAGTTCGGCCATCCTCTAGCTGCTTGCCAGCGAAAATTAGACGCTGCTGGTCTGGTGGAATGCCCTCCTTGTCTTGAATCTTGCTCTTAACGTTGTCGATGGTATCTGAGGACTCAACTTCGAGAGTGATGGCTGTGTGATGGTTAGCAGGCAACTCGATGTGGCAAAAGCGGAGCCAGTGACTGGAGATGTTTGCTTACTTTTTCCAGTGAGTGTCTTTACAAAGATCTGCATTATGGTAGATGTGTAGGTAGCTCCAGGTAAATACTGGTTGTTGGGAAGAAAGAAGATATTGTTGGTCTCTTTCTGTTGGTGGTGGTGGTAGTGGTGGGAACTGGTCAAGAAGACAAAGCTCTGGAGTTATTCGGATATAAAGGCAAAGGCCTGAGATGAGGGCGAAGATAGAATGATGAACAAGGGACGATGTGAAGGAACGAAGGCGGGGAGAAGAAGCGCAGAGGAGAGTGTAGGATCATTATATATATATACCAGCCAAGCCGGCCAGGGATGATGTGCTGGAAGGAACGAAACGGAGCAGCTATGCTGCACTGCTGAGCATGTGGTGGCGCCGCAAAGCCTGCACGAATAACGGAGCAGGTGGTGGACCAGTCTCATCCCAGATTGGGGAGGGGGCGGTGGACCACTGGGGGTTGTCGGCATCGTAAGTAAGGTGGAGCGGTGGCCGCCGTGGTCTGGTTTTCATGGTGGTGAACCACACCGCTGGTTATGGTGTCGTAAGCAACAACAACTGAAGGTAGAAGGCAACGGATCTTTTGTCCCTTCCTCATGATTCATACAAGGAGATTGATTATGATTGACTATATGCTCACTCGACTGGGGAATACATGTATACTAATATTCTAAACACTCCTTCTTTAAAGAACATCCATATGTAGAGTGTGCATGTACCTAGATGCCTGGCCAGTCTAAGTCCATATGCAGTAAATCAAACGAGACTACATGTAGCTAAGCCCCTACCCCTCGCGATAGCGGTGTCCACCAACGGTGATTTGACCTGGAGTTACCTCTGCTCCTCCTTGTAACTGTATGGCTTCCCGGCCATACGATATAGATACGATACCCACATCCTATCACCGACACCTACATACCACCGTGAGATTTTGGGCCAAACAGCCCCTGGTAATCGGTAAACTTCGCGTCCCCTCGCGTCGGCAGCATGTAACCATCTCAAGAGCACTGCCATAGAATACTCATTGAGCCCATAAGTTCGAGATTTGCTTATTAGGCGGTTGATAAAGCGGGCATATCTGGGTGCGCTACCTAAGAGGGCACCATCCAGGTAGCAGCAAATTTCGTAGGGCCCATCTATAGCTACATACCTATCCACCCGGCCTAGCTCTTCTCTGGAGGGTTCCCGAAACTTCGATGTTCCAGGCTTTGGTTGGAACCACGACAGCACTGGTAGCGATGGAGAAGAAAAGAACCCTTGCTTTGCTCACTCGGAAGAACACAACTACTGCCTATTCCTCTATTATGTACCTACACACTCTAGAGTGCCGGTTGCCAGGGTCGGTATTTATTCAGTCCTCCAGAGATTCTGATTCTGCGGGGAAATTCAAGAATGAAAACGGCTGGACAAAGAAAACGTGACCCTTGCTGATTTGGAATCTCCCGTGCAACGGTGGCCCACATTACATGTATGTAGAGTAACAAGAGGTACATGTGGGAGCCTCCTCCCTTCGGACGTCATTTTATCTTTGCTATTAAAATTTCTCACTTCTCGACCTGCTCACCCCACTCTTTCCCTCTTCCCAGACAGATATTTGCTTCCATGACAAATTTACTTATTTGACCTGCGCGATGCAGGCAGGATTAGGAAAAAGGGATCAAAAGGAATGAGAGAAAAAGGAAAACTACGATCATACGAGGCGGGAGTACCAGAGAAAAGAAGAAGCAAAGTAGGCACAGAACCAGGGAGAAAGGAAGCAAGGGAATGTGAGGGAAATAAGTCAACCTTCAAACACTACTAGTATGCCTCTAAGATCACGGTTCTTTACTTTCAGATGGCAGAAGCCCTCTTCACCTGTTGTCTGTTAGCCCATGGACAGCACCAGCAACAAAACTCGGTCTCGTCCGGCAAAGCAAAAGGCTGGCAAGCAGGCAACCATCAATTTACACCACAAGAAGAAAAGGAATATGTTCTAACGCCCCTCCCGAATCCCACTCAGAAGGGAAGCTCGAACAGCAGTACAAGCAAATGTTCAGAATATTTTCCCTTTGAAATACGACTGGCCGCCACGCATATATTTCCCACCACGTCGTTCATTCACCCACGGGTACCCGAGCCACGAACTCATACACATCATTTAACCAGAGCGGAAGGATGCCTTTTGCCACGGCAACTTATAAGTAGGAGAGAAAGAGACAACAACGAAACAACTACGGGTATTTTATTTTTATTCTTATTTCTCGATAAAATACTTTGCTCCTCTTGCCTGGTACTTGCCGTGGTCATCCTCGCAGGGTTTGCGTCGACTGTTTTCTTTGGTCTTCTTTTGAGCGGCAATCCTGGTGCTGGTAGCAGGTCAGTTCTGTCTGAAACTGAGCTCGCGGGTTAAAACCACTGTGTGGGTGGTGTCAGTTCAGATTTACTCAAAGCATAAAGAGAAAACCACCACAGTAAGAGTGTGAACTGGCGCGCGACAGTTTAACTGCTAGCTAGCAAAAGGCGCGCCTTTGAAACAGTTGATCTATGGCGCACTTCAAGGGGCCGCTGTTGATTGCAGAATGATTACCGCCAGTTAACGTGGACAAGTATTCGGCCTCGCGAGTAACTAAACCTGGCCTTGCGTCTCGCTCTGAGCACTTGCGCGAAACGCATGGTCTCCGAATATGCTAGTGCCGATCCTGTGTGTTGCTATGTACAATCTATTAACTTTTGTGCCTGAGCGGATAGAACAACCTAAGAAATAAATATATCCTCGTGACCGCCATGCGGCGGACAGCCAAAAGCAATAAACAAACGTCGAATTTGGAATCTATCAAAGGCCCGAATTTCGAATCAGTTGATCTTTGCGACAACAAATCGCGCCGAATGGTTGTCTTCCAAGCACTAGAGGGGGTTTTTTTTTTTTTGCACTACCGCGAAAATACAGAGCTTTGGTGGGGTGAGAGAGGAAATGGGGTCCCGACTGGTAACGATGATATCTTACACAAGAGTCCTCTCCGTCCGTCTGTTTCGAGTTACCGACGACAATCCCCTACATGAACATTGTTCGAAACACCCTTGCCGAAGGTGCAATTCACACCAGGCACTCTACCGACGATCTTCCCGTGACGGATGAACGGCTGTACCGGTATCACATTCTTTTCATCGATAAGTTCGGCTATAGATACATGTACCTTTGCATACTTGCTGTTTTGCCAAGGGTAGTGGAAAATGTGTCGATCTCAAGATCGATTGCAGCTGTCAATCAATGCTTGTCTAACCTTTACCCAGATACGATTCATAACACAAACGCTTCAGCTTTCAACGAAACAATTCCATAGCCCCTATCCGTCTTATCATATAATAGAGACTGGTTTCTTTCTGAATTTTGTTGAAAGTCATCTCCGGCCGGCGCGGGGAACCGCGAAAATAATTGTTCGATGGGGAAAATGTTTAGAAAACGATGGAAGTTTTTTGGCAATCAGTGTGATTTAAATTTACCCGACCGGCGGGAGACACCATCTGGGTGGTTTGATAAGAGCGGGGTTGTTGGGAGGGGGTATTACTCTAGTATGTAACGAGTGATTGGATATGACTTGATACCGAGACGATTCATTGCGGTCGACCCCCCCAACATTATACACAATCAGTCCATGGGCCTAGGTAATACAAACCACAGGTGGTAACCTATTGTCCGCTTATTCCCTAGCGTATACTATAAGGTAGAGCATTGCCCTACAAAATAGCTCTGGAATCTCCCCGTACGTGGATATATCATTTGAACACCAAGGATCGATTAGACCCAACTACCATCTGAGATTGCAACAGACGATTGGCTAAGGGACTCATTGGATGTGCTGGAGCTTGGATACCAACTGGATCCAATATATAATATACGTCATCATCAATCACTCGGAACAGCAGATTTCTATCCTCACAATTTTAATATACATGAACTAAGAGAGGAAAACCTGTCCCACGATTCCAAACAACGAATACTTTTAAAACTAGCTTTCATGAATATATGGCTATTTTAATGCGGCTGTAACAAAAGTGGGTAGAACGAAACTAGCCTCGTGGATTTTCTTATTATAATACCTAAACATCTTCGCCTCCTCGTCATCTGAAATAGACCTAAGTGGTTTTTTGACGTCTCTGGTTGCATCTTTGCTGCAAACCATAAAACCGATCTGACCAGATGGATAGGTCGGAACCGTAGTGTAAGCATATTCGGCGATAGGAAAGACTTCGTGGCAGGCCTGCTTTAGATCTTTATAAACTTCAAGTGAAGCCATTGGTTCTCAGCTATGCGCCCTGGAATTAGTGATCTGTAGCAAGAGAAGCATAAAACTTTGATCGAGCTCTGATCCTTCTCTTTCATTTTCTCCTGATCTCTTGCAATTGTTTTATAATTGATGTGAGAATAGGTTTCAAGGGTGACGGTGGGAACTTGTTCTAGGGGCGGGTAATTGCAAACAAAGATAAAACAGAAACCTTGTGTGGTGACAACTCCACCCTCCTGTTCATATATATATTAGTGCCCGTGTCTCTATCTTATGTTTAACCAAACTAGGGCTGAAAACGCATCTTACTTTTAGTGCCCCAAATAGAAGCTCGAAGTATGACTTGTGGAAAAGAGACTCTGCTGGCCCTTCCAGATCAGAGGAGTCGGTAATGATAACATCAAATGCATTTTTGTAATCTTCTAGGAATTTGAACCCGTCACCGACGTGAATAGTTGTTTTGGGGTGCTGGAAACCCTTAGACATGTGAGGGAGATATTGTTTTGAAAGACGGATCACGGCCTAATACGTAGAATGTATCAGTATAAGTGAGCAGCTGGTCACTCCCTATAAAGCTACCTCGTCAATATCACAAAGAATAACTTCTTCAACGCATCGTGCTTGACAACTTCGCGAAGGACACCACCGTCACCACCACCAATTATCAGGACCCTTTTAGGACTAGGGTGAGAATTCATAGCTAAATGCGTGATCATCTCCTGGTACCTACAGGTCATATAACCAAACAATCAGCTTTATAAGGTTCGATCTGGAAACCTTAAACCCACGCAAACTCATCACGCTCAGTACACTGGATGACATTATCCAGAACAAGAACGTTCCCATAGTCACTGCTCTCAAAAACCAAAACCTGGGAGAAATTTAGTTAATAAACGCCCCTGTATGATTTTCTTTAAGAAGCAACGAACATCTTGGTACTTTGATTTCTCGTGATGCAATATCTTGTTGACCTTCAACGCCATAGCCTGACCAGGCCACATTTTCGATACTTCACGGAACCATCCATCTACGGGTTAACTTTAGTCATGTATCAAAAATAAGGACGAGTATATGCCTTGATTCCATATTCTCCAGGAATCCACATATTTTACGGACCCTGGATGGTCGGGTGAGTCTCTCTGGAGTAGAGCTTCCGGGGATTGGCTTTGAATGGTTGTTACGTCGAAACAGCAGATACTTCTGGGCAACTTAACATACGTCGTAAGGCCATGACTTTGTTCATTCTTTTTGAACATATATAATTATATAAGGAGTCGTATCTGAATATACTTCCTTTTCTGGTCGCGGGTGGAGGTGGAGCTGGTAATGTTGTCGAAGAACGGGTATACATGTAGTACGTAGTATATAGCTTGAGCTCACCATCCGGGTAACTTTCTCTGAGCATTTAAATCCATGTATATCGTATGTACGTATACGTACAGTACGTCGAAAAAACGGGGTGAAATCAGTACTGTATGACTACGGGATTTAGTGAGAAATATGGAATTAAACCGGCATTACAAAAAGAATACCGCAGTAATGCTGTATTCTTGCTGCATTACTAGCGCATTAAGGGGAATAACGTAGCGAATCCATACGTACCCTTTTTTGGTATGGTATATTTCTACATGTAGCTTGCTGATCTACATGTATACGTATATAAGCTGGCACCTAGAAACAATAGGTGCTTCTCTATACTTCTTATTATCTATCACTTTAAGCATACATGTATATATATATATGTACTAGTACGTCTATGTCACACCGGGTTTACTTCGCCGCTACAAGCAGGATAGATTTATAAAGCGTGACTTCATAATTTAATTAGATGATGGTACAAACAGCTATCAAGAGTGACGGCACTAATATAGATGAAATTGATGCGGGCGAGGTGCGGTGCCAGCAGTACTATCGATAATCACGCTCGCGCTAGACGTCGAACCATTGCAATCTTTGGTATGACCCCCTAGAGTAGAGTTGCTATATCAAAGTGAAGACTCGGGCTGTGTGGTGGGCCTAGCTAGGTACTCATGCTCACTGCATGACGATTTTGGCTAGCTAACTACATGTACTAGTACATGAGCTACCCGCCAACATGTATATCTGTGCGTCATGAAATCTGACTCGGTCCACTTTTTGAAGGGCTTGGCGCGGGTCTCCTAGTGTCGACCGCCCGCCGTCTCTTGCCAACCACCCTTCCTAGACACAATACAACAACCCCTAGAACAACAGGGATTTCAAAGGAGACTATGGATACCAGCTTGAACGGCTCGATTTCGAGAGGTACCCTCTCAAGATTCTTTAAAAGAGCTGGTTCAGAAAGCTCTGGGAGTGGTGATTTGCAACAGACGACATCAAGCCATAAAACTAGGAAACTAGGAACACTGTTTTCGAAAGAGGGCCGGAAGTTATCATTATCCCAAAGTATTGAACATATTGCTTCCCTCTCATCCTCACCCAACACTCCCATCACCCCCACTACACCTACAACACCTGGAACGCCTACTACCTTTATTACACCTACTACCTTTAACACACCTAATACGCCTGCCACACCCCGCACTCCTATTGCAGGTACTCCCAAGGGAAGAAGAAGAGGAACGGTTCTTGAGGCTATTGCACCGGAGGGGGAGGAGGAGGAGCTTCGAAGCTACTTTGATGATGATACTGAGGACGAAGAGGAGCGGAATACCCTCCGTGCAAGGTACAATCATGTTCGGTTTGAAAAGGAGAAAAAAAGCGAGTAGAAATGTAACTGACGATGGTCTAGAATGATGGCTAAAGTTACGAACGGTTTCAAATCCAAATCCAAGGTTCATGTCGGAGAAAAGAAGGGAACAGAGGAGGTAGGGGAAGCAACCAAGAAACAGGGAACAGAGCTGCACAGGGAGCTACATAAATACGAAAACATCAAAGTTCAGACAACAGGTAGCACAAATTCATTTAAGGTAAATCAAAGAGACCCTTTTGCTAACTTGTTGATAGTTTTTGGGAGAGATACCTCCCAAGAGACAATCGATGATGATGAAATGGATTTTACTGGGACTTTTCATTATTTTGCAGAGTCAAACCGCAAATATGTGCGCCCAGGACGTAATGAGGTCCTTCATATTCGTGATGGCGGTCGAGAATATATCACCGTAGAAAGAATAAATGGAGTGTGTAGTATCACTGCTGGTGTCTTTGAATGCATTGTCGCAGAACTGGCCCACCCCGTTCTCACCCCCCACGGTGGGTGATTAAACTACCCAGAATGCGAAATATTTACTAAATTTATCAAGATTACCCAAGTCTTTTTGACAATATGGTTTTCTGTGGGTCGATGCTTGTAGGAAATATTACGATGCTGAAGACTGTATTTGATCAGCTCAAGACCAGTGTTGGAAATAGTGCTCAGGAGGTGAAGTAAGAATTAATTATCTATTGGTTAGGACTTATAGTCAGTTTGCTAATATTCTACCCTTAGTCTCGTCCATTTTATTTTGCATTGGATCAAAGAGAAACCGGAAGACTTCAGTTGGTGTAATGAAATTTTGGAATTACGATTCCAAATATTTCGTTATGTTCTTGATACCTTCAAGAAAACTGTGCTATCCCGTAACTTGTATGGTGTTTCGGTTAGGCATCACAAGTTAGAAGAAGCCTATAAGATTTATGCAAAACATCAAAAGAAAGGTTGGGTCAGCTTCAGGGACATCAAGATGTCTTATGCCAGGCCCACCAAGTGCGATCTTGTGCCGGTTGGTCTTTCAACCATCAATATCGATGATTTGACCAACTATATTTCCCTAGTCGTAAGTACATTCTCCCGGGGATCGACTTCTGCGTGCTAAAAAGTAATAGGATGTTATCCTCTTTCGTGATGGTTGTGAGATGGGCGCGTTGGATTCACACTGGAAGGAGAAGGCACAAATGGAAATTCCTCGCGAATACACGTCGAATGATTTCTTTTCTGAGAGACAGGCCCCCTTTTGGTGGCCAGTTGAAAGAATAGAGAGAATTCTGGAGAGACAGAGAATGGTACTAAGCATCCTATTTATTTATGTCTAATTTTCTAACAGTAAATACAGATCAAGCACTGGGTCGCATTGGAAATTATGCATTTGGATACGAGTGCTTCTAGAACTCAGATGATCAAAGTTTTTATCTCCGTGGCGGGGAACTTACTGGAAATGTCAGATTTTCATGGTGTGTTTTGCATCATGGAGGGTTTGCAGTGTCCAATGGTCCGCAATCTCGAGAGGAGTTGGGAGGTGAGTTCTAACAAGAGGAGCACCTTATACTCTACCTTAGAACATTATTGACAAAAGAAAAAATAGGACATCGGTTATCTCCATCTGCGTTTGTTCAAACAGCTGAGAGAAATCGTCAACGATAAAAACGTCTATCACCAGTTCTTAGGAGTCGAAAGTGGAAACCCAGTGACTCCATACTATGGTTAGTTTTACCTAGAATTATAAAAGTCACAATACTAACAAGATGTCGTCTTTAGCCCATTTTTTAGACGAGGTCACCGATATTCACAATTCAAAAGACCATTCTGCACGTATCAAGTCAACTGGAACCAGTAAAATGCACCTGGATGCACCGTTAAGCAAGTTTGGAGTATGGGACACAGAAGATAGAAAAGCTCCCGCAACTACCTCGGAGGACGGCACGCCGAAAATACCCATATCTTTGGACTTTCAAAAGTACCGAAAGCTTCTTTCCACAGTACAGAGCTATCAAAAACGCGTTCAGCCCGAATATAAACATTGTGGAGAGATCACAAGTGGCTGCTTTGTTCTGAAGCTCCATCTTGTTGGTATGAAGAACTTCGTTAATTTAGCGGAAATATCAGACATGACTTCTCCTGAGCTTAAAGGGAGATTGAATGGGATGTCTCAGCTTATAGAGACCAGGATATTGGAAGCATGGTCACTACAGCCGAAAAACGATATCCCGCCTGTCTACAGGGATGGGGATGCCACTCGATGTCTGGTATTACAGAATCTTCAGAAGGCGCTGGGAAATTGCGCTTAGTTCTATGAAAAGCAATGCAGCTACGAAAACTTTCAGTATATATTCTGCTTTCATTCTGTTGTTATCAAATGTCGCTGTAATGCTCATATAACCTTGGTCGAGTCAGTTTCCGTTCATTTCTCGCGTTACATCTAAATAGCTCTATTACGGTGCAATTGCGCAGGTCATTCGGGCCCACTTCTTCGTATATTTAAATGCTCTAGTATGTACAACTCACATGGTTTGGGTTTCTTTAAGTATGGTAGAATCAATGATGATTTTATAGACCTCTAGCTCCTTTATATATATAGGGATGCTTAATCAGAAACCCTCTCGGGCTTCTAACAGTATCGTTATTATCCCTAGTTAGGCTTATCCCCTAAGCTGCCATTAAAAACGCTGATCATTTTTCGTAAGAGTTAAGAGTGTAGCTTTGCTAACAAAATACTCCCTTCAATTAATATAATGAGCACCAATTGATCAGTTATTCCGCGATTGCTATGGTTTTTTGGCGCCACGAAATTCAAAAGGATCAGCATTGATCGACAACTTAAAGAGGGGGGAAATTTCCTATTTTCTCGCGGGGGATAGTCGGTACCGGGCCAGCATATCCACCATGTAGAGTAATGTCTGAAGCTTAAGGGCAGTTTCGTGGTTATGAAACTTCGTTATGCAACGACTCCATTAGACGAGTGCAAACAGAGATTTTTGAAAACGGAGTTTGGGTTTCCCAAACAGCAGTGTCAAGGTGGATATATTTGGTGGGGTTTTGGGCGTTGCAACGAAAACGGAGCTGAAAAGTACATGTAGGTAATACCTACTTTTCAAAAACTCTGTTTCAAGGCCCTAACGGAGGTTCAAAATTGGCATGCCAAACACAAATATTTCTTGCAAAACGGAGTTATGAAATAAATGAAACGGAGTTTTCCCGTCGCCATACAAATTTGCCCACAAAACTCCGTTTGGACCTGCTCCCAAACGGGCCCTAAGATTTACCAGGTTTGTACTTTAAATAGCGTGGCACATGCAGGACGTTGATTTAAAGTTATCTTGGCAAAACACGCGCGTTGCTGCACAGACACCACAAGAACAACCCCTCGCTGGAGCTTTCCTCTCATAACAACAAGGACCCTAACTACGCCCATATACACCCGCTAATTTTCGCAATATGCCTAGAGAAATTATCAGTATCCAGGCTGGACAGTGCGGAAACGCAGTCGGATCGTCCTTTTGGCAAACGCTTTGTGGGTTAATCACTCCCCGATTCTTCTCGATTTGGTACTAGTATCTGACAAGGAAATCTGTGCAAGATAGGTCAGGAGCATGGAATATCACCGGATGGAAATCTCGAATCTGTGGAGGAAGGAACCGATAGAAAAGACGTGGGTACACAAACTTCAAATGCGATGTGCCAAGGACGCTGGATGTTGACTTAGAAGCTGGGCACAGGTATTCTTTTACCAATCCGACGATACACGATACATTCCTCGCGCCATCCTACTAGATTTGGAACCCAGAGTCAGTGAGGATGAATCTTTCTGGGCGGTGGTCTCTTACAATAAGGACTATTTCCCATAAAATCGCAGGGTTGACAGTGGGTGGTGCTGCTTTAGGTGATTCATGGGATCCAAACAGGCCCATACAAAAATATCTACAACCCCGAAAACTTTCACGTCCCGAAGCATGGAAGTGGTGCAGGGAACAATTGGGCTGCTGGTTATGCTATGGGGGAGAATGTTTATGAAGAGGTTATGGAAATGATCGAGAGAGAGGCAGACGGGAGTGATTCATTAGAGGTATGCCTAAGCATAAGGAGAATATCTATTACCAAGTTCCTGGCTAACGTAGATTGGAAACGATATTAGGGATTTATGCTGCTACATTCCATAGCTGGCGGTACAGGTTCAGGGCTCGGATCTTTTCTTCTGGAGAGGCTCAATGATCGGTTTCCGAAGAAGTTGATCCAGACATACTCCGTCTTTCCCGATACACAAAGCGTAGGTGATGTCGTAGTTCAGCCTTACAACAGTATGCTTGCTATGCGACGCCTCACAGAGAACGCTGATTCTGTGGTATGTGCTCATCCGTGCGAATCCCTCACCATATATCTAAGGCTGATTTTCTAGGTTGTCTTAGACAACGGCGCTTTGACTCGTATAGCAGCAGATAGGCTTCACGTCCAGGAACCCTCATTTGCGCAGACCAACCAGTTGGTTTCGACTGTAATGTCTGCTAGTACCACTACTCTCAGATATCCTGGGTACATGCACAATGATCTTGTCGGAATCATTGCCTCCTTGATACCCACGCCTCGTTGTCACTTTCTCATGACATCATACACCCCATTTACGGGTGATATCGTCGATCAAGGTAAAACAGTCCGGAAAACAACTGTGCTAGATGTCATGCGCCGTCTGCTGCAGCCCAAAAACAGGATGGTCATGACAAATACTACAAAGAATAGTTGCTATATCTCAATTCTAAATATCATCCAGGGAGAGGCCGATCCAACTGATGTCAGTATCCATACCTCTATGCTTTGTCCACGTAATATACTAACAAATCAGGTTCATAAATCTCTTCTTCGTATTCGCGAACGAAGACTGGCGACATTTATACCTTGGGGACCTGCAAGTATCCAAGTTGCCTTGACAAAGAAGAGCCCCCATATGCCGATGTCACATCGTGTTAGTGGGTTGATGTTAGCGAATCATACCAGTATTGCTACTGTCCGTCTTCCCACCCAAATTATGCTTCTCATAACTAATAAACGCACCCCAATTTAGCTATTTAAGCGTATTCTCGGCCAATATGATCGTCTCAGGAAAAGAAATGCGTTCTTGGAACAGTACAAAAAAGAGCCGATTTTTGCCAATGACTTGGGCGAGTTTGATGAGGCTAGAGCAGTAGTTGCAGATTTAATTGCGGAGTATGAGGCGGCAGAAAGCTCTGATTATCTTAACCCTAGTCCAGAGAGGGCGAGTGAATCTTGAAAGGGTTTGTAAAAGGGTGAAGGGTGAATTGATTTGTACTAGTCATGATTTATGAATGCTAGCTTTAGGTTTTCTGGATCGCTGAATGAATGATTGGAAATTACAATCAACTAATTTCGAGCAGAATCTGCTCACCTGAGAAGGATGTTTGATTCCCTCTTGCGTATCCCTATCCCGACTATTGTATCTTAATCGCTGCCCTATTAATCTATGATCTAAGTGTCATTTTTTAAGCCTAGTATGGCTACATATAGTTACGAGCGAAGTGGATCAATTCAGGTTGTTAATCGCCGGAATTCTTAGCACAGAATTGCCGAATGATAGAAATGCAATGGAATCTCCTGTAGTAAAGCGGTGATCAAGGGTCTTGGTTTGTGAAAGATCCCACTGAGACTCAACGCAAATGTAGGATTTGTGTCACAAAACGGCAAGTGAAAGGAATTCCAAAATAATTATCCATCTGAGATGTTCATAATAACTGAGTAGGTTGTTTCCCCAGGTGGGTTTAGAGATTACCTAGCGCGGACGGTCCGGTTTAAAAAAAAAAAATCTTGGCACGCAGTGTGGTTAGCAAGCTCACCTGGACAATTTTTATTTTTATCCTTAAGAGTCGATTGCTGTAAAATGAACAACTTTTTTTTTTAAAAAAAAAGCCTAGTGTAGATCATAATCCAAGTTCTGCGCCTTAGAGTTTCACGGCGAAAAAGAAAGAAGAAAAAATTTGACCTGTGGTGGGAATTGATGGAAAACTCTGCGTGAGAACCTTTGGTTTTGGTTCTAGTAAGTTATTTCCCCATACAGTGTCATCGGTGGAGATAACACCTTAGAGTCTACAGTGTTCCATACAGTGTAAGCAATGAAAAAGAGCGCCGTAGACTCTACGGCGTGTAACGTAAGCAATGGAAAGAGCACCGTCGCATAATCAATATAATCATGGACCAGAATATTATTATCAACTTATATACAAAGAATTGTTGGCATTTAGAGAAACAATAGTAACCCTACAGCGAAGTAGACTGGTGATTCCTATCGGTCCAGGGCCTTATGGAATCACCATGGCCTGCGGGTGCCAGCCGTACTATAAGCTATGTATATTGACCATCTGCGAACGTTCATTGTTAGAAACGGGCTCAAAAAAAAGATGGACCGTCACTGTTTAAGGGAGGAAATCGGGTTGTGCTCATATGGTATTTTGATCTTTGAGTTCTGGTTATCATCACCGACCCGAAGGTCTGAGAGTGGTGCATGAAAACAGTATTTAATCTTCGCGGGGTGAAAGAAATTTAAAATTGGCAAGAAGAAAGAAGTTAATGGAACTGACCTTAGTTTGATTGATATCATATATCGTGGTGAATTCAAGATAATTGGCACTTCTACCAATTGTAATAAACCGCCTGAGATGCCGTTGGCGTATTGTCGTGATGTTCAGAGTAAAAAACGGGGGTGGAAAACATTTTTTTAAGTAGACGGATCGGCAGCCGGGTAACTCACAAACCATTTAACAGCAAAAACCCTAAGCCCTGAAATAAACATAGTATGCCAGAATCAGCACGACGAGAAACAAACCCCAGGGTTTGGCAAAAGCGAACTTTCTTCCCGATGGGATATTATAATTATTAGCTATTTTAACTACTATTAGCTCTCAGAAAAATACTAATCTAATAATTGATCACTATGGTTCATAAAAATAGTAGCAATTGCCAATATCGGCAATTCAGTAAAGCCCCACGGCAACCGCCGCAGAACATACCGCGCCGCCTAAACTCAGTGGAGCAACCTGGCCTCTTCAAAACACACACCTAGCTCTCATCTCTCACCAAACCTCCGAAACTATACACCGCCCAATGCAACGATGAACGAAGAATTCTTTGGTGACAAGAAGGGCGGCCTCACTGAGAGTGTACGCACCTTTGACGCCTTTCGTAAGTCTTTTGGGCCATCAAGCTCGCCCTGGTTCCTGAGTATAGGGCTGAACGCTAACCATACCCCTCCATAGCTAAAACCCGCGCATCCTATACTACACGTTCCTCCCGCGGCGGAATCGTAACACTACTCCTAATTACTACATGTCTATGGCTCGCATGGCACGAGATGGGTTCCTATTTCGATGGCATCGAAGAGCAGCACTTCCTTGTTGAAAAAAGTATCGGTCATGAGATGCAAATAAATCTCGACATTACCGTCGCGATGCCCTGCGACGCTCTCCACATCAACGTGCAGGACGCCGCCGCCGACCGTATCCTGGCAGGCGACCTCCTCCAAAAGGATGCAACTGCATTTGATGATACAAGCGCTCACCGGCTGGTCCAGATTGGGCGAAGGGAGGACCATGTTTACGACGTCCTGAAAAAGGCAAGGAAATCAAAATTTGGAAAAACGAGGTGGCCCAAAGGGGGCGACCGAACGAGCTGCAGAATATACGGTAGCATGGACGTAAATCGTGTTCAGGGTGACTTCCACATTACTGCGAAGGGCCACGGATACTGGGATGCGGGTCAGCACATTGAACACGACTCATTCAACTTTTCACACGTTGTTAATGAGCTTTCTTTTGGCGAATACTACCCGAAGCTTATCAACCCACTCGATGGCGTCGTCGCAACAACGGAAGATCATTTCTATAAGTTCCAGTACTACCTTTCTGTTGTGCCGACCATCTACGAGAGTTACACCACAGGAAGGAGGCTGGCAACGAATCAATATGCGGTCACCGAACAATCACGCGCAGTTCCAGCGCATAATGTACCTGGAATCTTTTTCAAGTACGATATTGAGCCGATTAGTTTAACGGTGACAGATTCAAGGACACCTGTGATACAATTCATTGTTAGGTACGTGATCTGCGGTGTTAGTCTAGTGTGCTTTAGGATGTCAAGCTAACTATGACTTTTAGGCTTGTGAACATTATTGGTGGAGTATTAGTAAGTGGAGGCTGGATCTACAAACTACTAGGAATGGCAGTAAGCGTGTTTAGACGGAAAAAGAGGGACACTGAGGGTATGCTAAATGGGCGCGTCAAAGGTGATGAGTAGAGCTGAACTATTAGAGTGAAAGTCTCTGAAATGTTCACACTGTTTTTTTTATATCCGTCCTGTTTTTAAACATTATACTATGGAGTTTTGTGTGGTTAATATCTAAGATATGATACGAAGTTAAATTTCCAGACCAATTTGTTTCATCTACAGAACTTATGTAGGGCTTTAAAATATCTTTCATTATTTGCTACTCCGAGCGTCAACCTTCGTACTACATCTCGCCTTACTCCATCCAGGAAATTCTCCAATTACTCCATCCACGAGATTGCAAACATAATTCCAAACCCAGCTGCCATTGCAACAGCCTGGGTCAAACTTTTTCTAGCCTCCTCAGCTTTGTTCGGCCCCACCTCCAGCAACTCCGGAATCACACTGAAGCCTACATAGAGGAACGTCCCGGCAGTAAAAGGCAGTACCAGATCGCCTCCAGTCAACCCCGTACCCATGATCCCCTCTCCAGCTTTAACCACCACATCCTCACCGCCAGACGCAGAATACCATTGGATCCCGATTCCGATAAATGTACCCAAGAAGGCACCGACAGCAGTAAAGAACTGCGCACCCATGGCTTGCCATTTGGTGAAGCCACTCTGCACGAGGAGAGCAAAATCGCCAACTTCGTGAGGGATCTCATGGAAGAATACTGCGACGCAAGTGGTCGCGCCAATACGGACGCCGCCGGTGTGGAAAGCGGCAGACATGGCAAGACCATCGGTGATGTTATGCGAAAACTAGTTAGGGTTAGGGTTAATTAGTAATTGATCCTTGAATTTAATTTTAATAGACTGGAGAGGTGTAATCACATCGGCACTGACAATTATGAGTTAGTCAAGATCAATTATCAATTAAGATTAGGTGATGGGGGACAAACATTAGGTTCAGATAAGACGAGAGCTTGATCGAGTTGCTTGCTTCCTTCTTGGCAACTTGCTCTTGACTCTGCACGACCGAGTCCTTCCCGCCACGCTTCTTTAATTCGCTACCCCCTTTGGTATCGACACCACTTGTAGTTGCGGACACTTTCATTTCTTCAATCGCGTCATGTGAATGTCCATGTGAATGGTCATGTCCTGCGCCGAAAATCCTCATAGTCTTATCCATGGCGACAAAAGTCACGAAACCAATGAAAATAAATAATCCCAAAAGGGTGTTCCTCTTAGGATCCAACATCACAAAATGGACATTGTCATTGTGAGGCTCTCCCATGAAAGTTTGGGGGATAAGGTGTAGAAGCGTGTCACCAAGGAGGCCGCCGACTGCGAAGGCGACCATTACAGAGAGGGACGAGGGGTCAATGTCGGTGGGGCATAGAGCAAGTAAAAAGTCTGCGCGTGCATTATTAGTGCATAGCTCATACGTATGTGTAGGCTATCATGGGATTGATATGTAGTAAGTTGGCTACATACTTGGGGGCCCAGAAATATAGGCTGTGGCCAAAAGACTGTTCACAGCCGGTCCGGCGGGGAACAAAACCGAAAACACTTTACTCATAGTGCTCGAGGTTTCCGGCGCATTGATTTGGCGTTCGTGGTTCAATTGTTTGACGATTGGGCATTCCTACGAAGGTACATCGTCATAAGCAATTCATATAGGATGAAGATAATACGTATGAGCTAAAAAACTACCTGCAATTTCTCATCAATCTCCGCAATTGTCAACTCACTCGTCGCCTTAATCTTCTCCGTTGATGAGCTCGAGGCTGCGGCTGAGACCACCAACGCAGACAGCAATAGCAGGCCAACTGCCTTGCGCGGACGCATCGTAAACGTCGGGAAACGCATGTTAGGTATAATATATTATCGGTGGTGTAATTATATTGGTGCAGGGGGCCTTGTCGGAGTTGACGACGACCTTTGGTTGTTCTTTGGGTACTATATGTAAATACTCGGGGGTGTGAGCAGGGGCCACGATTCCTGTTGACACAGGAGGTTTATGGCCCTCGTTCAGGTTAGTCTCGCTGCAGTTTGGTGTGTTACTGATCCAGGTTGTTGGGTGCCACAAAGTTACTCTATCGGCATGCAAAAAAAGAAAGCAGCCCCCTGGAAACAGCCAAGAAACACAAACCTGGAAACATTCCTGCATGTCAAAGTTCCATAATGCGTTCCAATAACTTCAGCAATTAATGTATAATGCGTTTGTGCGCTTATGAAATCCAGACAATCACCTTTTCCCTAGGCGCCCCTGATATACGTACCGGGTACTGTTGGTAGTTCTACTACTCATATTGTGCCTCGACCAATTGATCCTCAGAATTCACTGAGGCGTACCCGCAATTTTGTAAGAAGCTATTCAGTGATCCTGGCTAATGTAGGAGAACAAATCCACTTTTCTCTCCCTTATGCATGCCGATGTTATCTACTCCTTCTTCCCCTCAAGAATTACCTCAGGAACCTCTTTTACGTCTTCTGACTGCTTGGCATCCTCAGTTCCATCTGGTACCAAACCCCTCAGCATTAAGTCGTAGCTAACATCCTCAACTTTCTTAACCTGTACCCCCAAATAACCGTTAGTCACATAAATTCCGCTTTTTCCCAGTAAGTAATGGCCTACGCTATATTTCAAACTGTCACTTCTTCTTCTCAAGCTATCATTCTTCAAGTTCAGGACCTGGAACGAAGAGTGGATGTCCTTAACAAAGCGGTTGATCATCAGCGGACGGAGGAAATCGCGCTGAGTGACGGCGTTGGTGGTCAGACGGGTCTAGGTTGAATTTTTTTTTTTGTCAGTTACTAGTAAGTAGAGGACTCAGTTGGGAATAGTACCAACTCATCAACAAGAGAGATCACGGCGTGGAGGTACTCCTCAATCGTCAGGTGAAACCTATCCTCCGTCTTCAAATTCACCGGCACTATCACCGATTCATTGATCAGCAATTCCCTATCAACCTGCGATTTACGGCCAGGCAAAAAACCAACCTCCGAGGACAGCCCCGACTTCGTCAATGCTAAGAAGGCTGTTCCCCGACTCAGCAGTTCCGTAACTCCGCTTGAGCCATCCGTGAAGCAACACCAAGAATGCCTTAATCACAACTATAATCAGAATTTATAATAGATTCCAATTCCATCCAGACGTACCGTATTCTGTAGATCCCTGGTCCATAGCCCATTGTACTTGTAATAAGGGTAATCCTTTACAATCTCAACCAGGCCCCCAATCTCAACGGCAACCTGTTTGAAGCCATCCTCAACGCTGTCGGTAAGTTTGAGAACTAGATAATTCGGTAGTTGGTAAGCGGCCGAATGATATATCTATCGAGTAGAGAAAGCGGGGGTACGATACCATGCTCGGCAGGAACGATATGGATTCGGGAGAGTGTTGAGTTGATCTTGCGAACTAGATTATTCGACGTCAATGATTGTAAGCGTCTTCACATCAAAAGAGCCCATAGCCAACCTTCTTTATCCAGATTCCTGAGTGCTTCCCTTATTTTCTATACCGCCCCCGCCCCATTCAGCTCTAGACGCCAATTCAGGAATGTGAAGCATACCTCCTTGATCTCACTGTCCTTCTCAATCTGCTCCTGCACCTTCGCAAAAATCTCCGGATCAACACTCGCGAATGACTCCGACATGATAATATGTCTGTCCTTAGTCTAGCTTTAAAGGTTCTAAACAGAATCTCCGCAGCTTGATGAGATTGACGTAGGATTGCACAGACCGAAAATTAATTTTGCTTGTTGTTATGCGGTATGCGGGGTGTAGCAAGCAAGCGACCGATCAGTGTTAGATTTAGCTCCCGAGCCATGACTCTAGAGCAGACCACCCCCACCCCCGGCCCCGGCCCCGGCCCTAGCCCCGGAAGTGAGCTTGATGGAGCGATGATCCAACGCCTTATTTCGACTGTTTCTGATCTAAAGATTCGATTTAACTATCTACCAAATGGAATTTCTACAAGCCCGATGATCAATCTCACCTCCTCATCTGGCTGATACAGTCTCAGTTCACTTTACAGTCAAGAACACAAAGGAGAAAAGAAAAGTGACACAGGAGAAACGTTCCTCCGTATGCTCCATATCTACCAACGTCTGGTGACGATAAATCAACAACACTCCAGACATCACTCGGACCCATACGCATCGACATAATCATGTAGGGCGCAAAAGGAAAGGAAAGGCCAAGAAAACATATTTACACGATTATTCTACACTATCACAAAACATAAACCTTGCGGTGAGGTTTAGGGAGCCAAGTGTGCCTTCTCCGCAGTCTTCAGTGTAAATCCGTGGCGACATCGAAATAGATATGAAAAGATGTATGCCAAAAACTGATAATACATCAAAATAAAAGTCATTCTGCAGCTCCAGGGTTCTGATGAGACTTCGCCGTTTAGATATTTTTCGCAGATACTGAAGAATTGGAAAATTATTAGAAGGTATTAATAGCTTAGTGGGGATATGGGTAGCGCACTCGAGAAATTTAACTGGGTCATCGGTACAAACTCCTATTAATCCGTCAGTTCAAGTTGCCTCTAATAGCACGTAAATTTGCTTTACCATCAATCCCATGGGCTATTGTCCATTTCATAACCTGCTCATCGTTTACTGTCCACGTGTAAACGTCTCTACCGGCAGCACGAGCGTCTTTGAGAAACTTCTCGCCCTTAGGCCCGTCGAGGATTGCATAACGCATGTTGAAAGAAACATTTGGGATTTTCAAAAATTCTCTCGCATATGGTATTGAGTATCCGATGTGCTAAAACGCAGTCAATAAGAGGAAAATCAACACGCCTCGACTTCACATTAGGCACTCACAGTAATTGGAAACCCAGGTAAATAACGCTCACATAACGGGATGAAATTCAATGTCCAACATCCGAGAACAACTCTATTGCCCCAAAACTCTACACCACCTCCCACATCCTTCAAAGTCTCCGCAGTTAATCTAATGATATTTTCCGCATCATTGTCGATCTTGATGTCCAACAACAACCACATTTTTCTGAGCGCGGGTTGACATAACAATTCTAGCACCTCTTTCAGTGATGCCATGGGAACATGCGGTGCCTCTACTGTTCTCAGCGTCTTCAAGTATGAATAGTCGCAGTCGATAACTTTCCCCTCTTCTCCGAATACCCTTTTTAAAGTGGCGTCCTATACCAGACTTACTTAGCAGCAATACTTTTGATAGATTCGAGTGGACCAATGCATACGTGTGAGATCATGACAACTCCGTCTCGTGATAGATGAAGGTCTATTTAGTCCCTCAAGTTGTTTAGCTTCAGACACTGTGACGGCGGGGGGTTTATTTCTTTGTACCTGTCTCAATTGCATGGGCCCCAGCTTTAACAGCGCCTTCAAAAGCCAATATCGTATTTTCTGGAAACTGCGCCTGGAAGCTAAATATTAATTAACCAATTGTTCCAATTCTCCAAGGTTTATCCCCCCCCTTAGCCCTCTTTAATGGAAGTATTGTCAACTTACCCACGGTGTGCTATAGCCTGTGGAAGCTTGAGCTCTTCTGAACCCATCACAGATTTTCCAAATGTTCCTACATTGTAAGCAATTGAGCGACTGATAGGCAATGAGTTTAATCGGTAGATAGCTAGATCGGATATGGAGATGGCTTACCAGGGGATCTCTTTGAGCCCAATAAAGGCTGCTCGTCTTGGTAGCTCATGATGTTCTAGGATCGTGGTTTATATTGGTTGTATTGAGAGGTTGTACAGACCAGGCAAGAGGTTGGTTTAGCATTCAAAGGATACAAGCATTAACTTAAATACTACAGTACTGTATGGTAATGCACGGGGTCCTCAAGAAGAAAAAACAATTAGTAGCATGCATCACATGTATCCTGATCCTGTAACTTGCTTCTTTACCACAACGGTGGATAGGTAGCGGGGGTAAAGAGAGAACCAAAAGCTACTAACAATAACGAGGAAGCTGCTGCTGCGAAACAGTGCGAATCGCCCTTATTACCTTATTGCGCCGCGACGTCGCTGTGCTGAGTTGTTGTCTAATTCGGCCTCATCAGGCGGCTGGATCCGTCCCTGGTTTCACAATCAAGAAGGCTTGTTCCTTTCTCGAACTCTCTGAAACATTTTCAGTCTAGGATTTGTGTTACTTGGCGCAAAATTCAATCCCAGATTAGGCTTCTATGACTTATCAGCCTTCTTTCCCGTTAGTTTGGAATTCCTACATCATAGTCCCTATTTACTAGATTTCTCTGGAGTAGGGACAAACCATGCATGGTGAGTGCACTTGATCAATTGTCCAACCATCATCCTGCATTCCGCAGCTCTAATATAAGTGGAGTCTTAGCGGCTAACAGTTCATTGGACAAGAATATAAGAACCCTGTCGCTATGTAGATCATTGATGGCTGGATCTGATACCCCAACGCACAAGAATCGGTGCACGCCCACCCGCACAACTACGACCAGATCTTGGAGAACACATGTACTTAGTTTCCTTTTGATTTTGATTTTATCTGTGCATCCACACTACTCGTATTTCTCTGACGTTTGTGGACGCGACTGATATTGCATGCCATACAAAATACGCCAAGCTCATGATTTTGGGTGTATGCAATAATGGCCCAGTTCAAAAACATCAGCGAAATACTAGTACTCACTGCCCTACTGCGCCGTGTTCATACTAGTGGATTTGCGGAATCTGAAGAATGAAGTAGGTAAGGAAAAAAAACGAAGAGAAAAGAAAAAGCAAGAATTGCATGTTGTTACTCCGCTATGGTTTTACATCCTGGACCTAGTAAAAATAAAATACGATAAAGGCTACAGAGGATTTCAAGTACGATCAGAAAGATGTGATAGTCTCAATTCCTCCTATGCTAGGTTCTGCATGTCAACAACACACCTAAGGGCAAAAAGGTTAGCATATTGTCTCAGATACGGGATGAACCTGGAATTCTCGAACCTAATACAATCACCAGCTTTCATCTGGTCAAATGCGGTGTTGATGTTGTTTAGGTTCTCACGGTGGGTAATGACTGCGTGGCCAGTTTTAGCAAATCTCTCGTAAATTTAGGCAGAAATAACCCACATTCGTCCACTTTCAGCTTTCCGGTCATGTAATCATCAACGAGATCAGGAAGCTGAGTGCGTCCCTTGATGCCTCCAAAGGCGCAACCTTTCCAAACACGCCCAGTGACCAGCTGGAATGCTATTTCAAGTAGCGGTTTCTTAGCTCAGTCATTGATAAATACCCCAGATAAGCATCCAACTTCCACAAAGAGCAACTTACGGCGTGTAGAGATCTCCTGACCAGCAGCCGCGACGCCAATGATAATTGACTGACCCCATCCCTTGTGGCAGGCTTCCAGCGCGGCTCTCATAACTGAGACTACACCAGTGCAATCAAATGTATAGTCCAAGCCACCATCAGTCATCTCGATAAGAACCTCCTGAATCGGCCTATCGCCATAGTCCGCCGGGTTCACAAAGTCTGTCGCGCCGAACTTCATAGCCCATTCCTTCTTCTTCTCATTTACATCGACGACGATAATCCTGCTAGCACCGCATTTGATGGCCCCTTGGATGACAGAAAGACCAACACAACCGGCACCAAAGACAGCTACGCTGGACCCCTTCTCAACACCTGCGGTAACAACGGCAGCACCATATCCTGTCGTAATACCACAGCCAAGCAAGCAAGTCCTGTCCATCTTGGCCTCTGGGGTGATGGCCACAACGGAGATGTCGGCCACAACGGTGTACTGTGAGAAGGTTGAGGTTCCCATGAAGTGCAAAAGATCTTTACCCTTGCATCTAAATCGGGAGGTTCCGTCGGGCATAACACCCTTACCTTGGGTAGCGCGAATCTTACCGCAGAGATTTGTCTGAATCGTTCCGTCAGATAGAGTTTAGAACATAATTAAAAGCAAAAAGAAAGAAAAAAGAAAGAAGAAAAAAAAGGCTGCGAGATATGTACTTACTTTTCCAGACTTGCAGAACTTGCACTCCTTGCACTCTGGAGTGTAAAGAGCGACAACATGGTCTCCAACCTTCACATTTTCAACACCTTCGCCGACTGATTCCACAATTCCGGCACCCTCGTGTCCAAGAACAATGGGGAAAGCACCCTCGGGATCCTTGCCTGACAAGGTGTATGCATCTGAAACAATGTCAGATATTAGCGTTTCTTTTGTTGCTAGTCTAGCTGTTGAGGGTTGTAAATACCTGTATGGCAAACTCCTGTGTAGTAGATCTGGATGCGCACTTCATGGGCCCTTGGAGGTAAGACCTCAATGTCTTCGATTGACAGGGGTACACCGGACTCCCAAGCGACTGCCGCCTTGCAAGTAATGGTCTAGGAATTACTTAGCTTGACAATCTAGCAGTAAGTATTATTCATCTGAACAACATACCTTTCCAACAGTCGACATTTTTGGAATATAGGATTGATAGGATTCTAGAAGTTCTACTGAATAGGTAGTTATAGAAAAGGTTGGAGAGGGGGGAGATGAGCGACACAAATAGTGGTTCTGTGACGTACAAGGAGGGGTCTCTTGGTGGGGCGGGGTTGTTTCGGCTGCGGGAAGCTATCCACCCAACCCCCAACACGGGATAGCGATGATCTCCAAGAAACGGCCAGGATCTTATTTCCTATTCCCTATTTCCAGTGGTTTTCTGTCCATTTCCAAGTAATTCTAGAAATGGTAGGATTTGAATTTGATTTGTAGAACACAAACGCACCCCAGAAAAATTGCAATTTAGCCTATCTAAGTAAAGTACAAAACACAACCGACAACCGAAAAATTAACTTCAAATTATTCCCCGTTTGTGTACAGGGCTTTGCCTTTGGTAGCCAGCTCTAGAAGCTCTTCAAATTCTCCACTTTTGCGAGCCAGGTCGCACAGAACACCACCAGGGCGCCGTAGTAAATTGAACGGGGTATCGCATCTGCACGCACGCATCAGAAAAAGGATTCCCGCATAAAGAGGCACAGCACTTACTCCACTACCTCCCCGCCTTTACCCAGGTTGTCAAGGACAATAATCCTGTCAAACGACATCACTGTGCCTATTTTTTAGAAAGAGATCAGCAACTGCATCGGACTGGAATCTCAATAGGGGCTAACATACGAAGTCTATGGGCAATGGTTATTATAGAGGAGTCTGGGAAACTGGTTCGCAGGGTCTGTTGGATTCTCTCATCCCTATTGCTTGCGTCAGCTACAACCTCTTGCACAACTTCAAACATCGGACCACTCACGTCTCCATGTCTGTAGAACTCGTAGCCTACATTAATGCCGGAGTTAACATAAGTTCCGACTCTCGGGGAAGCATCGGGAGCGAAGAAAAATCAAAAGCCTAGAAACTCGCCAAGGCTCTGCAGATCTTGTATTGTCCCGAAGCAATCAAGTCTTGAAGAATTGGGAAACGCACCTCATCTAAAATCACCAACTTGGACCGTCTGACTAGTGCCCTGGCAAATGCGAGCAACTGCCGTTGTCCCTGAGAAAGATTATCTCCGCCAGATGTGACTGGAGAGTCGAGACCGATTTGCTTAGTTCTTAGCTCTGTTGCTTCTGATGTGGTAGTCGAGGCGTCTGAGACACTTGTATTACTAGCATTGTTTGTAATCCCAACTAATCCACTACTTTCCAGAGCTGCTTGAAGTTCTGTGTCATCAATTTCATGATAGGGGTCCAGATTATCGCGAACTGTTCCAGAAAACATAATAGGATCTTGAGGAATAATTCTAACACCATGTTAGCTGATACAGGAATGCTGAAGGAATCATTTGAATGCGTACGTGATGCGCTGCCGGAGAGACTCAAGATTTACTTTCGTGATATCCAGGCCATCAATGGTAATACTACCATTAGAGATCTCGGTAAACCTTAACAAACTCAACGCTAGACTGCTCTTTCCGGCTCCAGTCCTCCCAACAATACCGACCTTCCTCGAAGTTAGCAAATAGCCCACTACATACTGGTATGAAAACCAACCCTTTCGCGTGATTTGACGTCAAAGCTGACCTTGTTAAGTACTTCTGGGCCGTCCGTAGAGTACTTGACCGAAAGATTGGTAATCTTGACATCACCCTCTACAATTGTCAATTTAGCATTTATATCACGCTGAAATACAGGTTTGGTGGAGTTTACGAGTTGGCCATGCTGCTGATGGTTCATGTTCTGGTATTGGTTGTTTCTACAGAGCATAAAATGTTTCTTATTAGCCCTTAAATGTCTTAAATGTGAAGGCATTCAGGGATTCTCACCTCTTGCTCAGATTTAATATATTTAACGACGCGGTCGTACGAATTAAGCTCCACTTGCAGCTGAGAAGAATCAGTATGGGGTATCTAAATATGAATTTACTTATATATGTGTATATTACCCTATTGAAGTCACTATTCATGGGACAGATATTAGTATGAACTCGGAAATCCTGTATCATCATGGACAACTTTTACCTGACTGCTGAGAGTACAGAGGAGGAAAACGAAAGACCTAATCGATTAGTACCCTAATTAACTTAAGAGGAATTCTACTCGTACAATTGTTCATGCTAAACCCAATCAAACCCGCAGTATAACCAGTCGTATTAATTGCCAAAAAACCTGCTGCTGCACTGATCATTGCGGTGCAAGCTGTGCTCCTAATGGTCATCCACAAACCAAGGGCATTGAGAGTCCATTTGCTTGTCCAATTAGTATGAATAATTTAGTCTTTGTTGAATTGGGAAACATACACTTGATTGAAATCATCGAGCTTCTTCAGATTTTCATCAAGAAAGCGCCGTTGGCAATTATATGCACGGATAGTTACAACTCCAGAGACAGTATCATGCAGATGAGATATCACAGGGGCTGCTTGGATAGAATATATTCTATTCACACTTATCTTAGTGCGGAGATAACTTGAAATTGTTAGAATTTACTAATCATACTTGGGGTATAGCTATAACTTACAATTCTCGGCAGGCTGTCCCAATTAGGATCGCAGTCAAGCAAGGCACTAGAAAAACTGGAATTAAGCCGAACATGATTGTAAACGTGAACGCAATATTAAGCACACAATTGATAAGTGATTGCACATTACGTCCTAGGATCCAATCGATAGAACTATATCCTCGTTAACTATCTCTTCTTGGTGCTTATATCAAAGAGAGAAAGGAAAAGAATCTCACTAAATGTCACTGGATAGGCGCCCTAGTATTCTTCCTACAGGGGTAGTGTCGAAGAACCTTATGGGTGAATATAACACTGATTTTACGAGTTTCTCGTGAATTTTCTTCCCTGAAATTTGAATAAAGTAATACCATGAAACGTATGTGATGAAGAAAGATATTATCACACCGAACGTAGTCACTTGTTTTAATAAGTTAGCTAAGATAACTTGTACTATGATAAATTAAATTAGTCTTACTAGAATACATTCCCTAACAGCCATATTAGCAGAGCACTAGTAACTATTCCAGTAGGAAACTTACAAGCCACAAATTCACATTTACGTCCCCAGGTTTTGAGTATTGATCTACGACCACCGTCAGAAATAAACGTTGTATATACAGTGTGAGGTTTCGTTACCTGACCAGACTGCGAGGAATAGAGAGCTCCCCACGCTGTAAACCGCGCTATTAGTAAAAATCTAGATATTGAGCCAAGGTTTAACATACAATGCAAACTCCATCAAAACACTCGTTGCCACCAGGTAGACCAAGACAATAGGTGACCCGAGACTTTTTATATAATCCCAGATAAGCACTATAGGAACTTTACCCTTTGCCCGGTCCTCATCCTTCACAAGTTTAGGAAGATTTTTTCCGTTCACTTCTGGGGCCGTTTTAACAATTTTATCCTGGAACGTTTGTGTTGTAGGATCAGACTCTTGGCCCGAATTTCCGAAGTCATCCGGCTCAATATTTGGTATAACGTTGATTGCACTGGGAGGGATATTTTGCGGAAGGCCATCTGAAATGATCTTTCCATCCGCAAGAACTACTATCTTCTTTGCATATGAAGATACCAGCGACACGCTATTTATATTAATACACATGGGGATGGCAAAGCAATTGTAGAGATACGTACTGGTGAGTCACTAGAACAACAGTTCTACCAGCTAAAACTTCTCCGTTGATACACTTGTCGAAAACTATCCTACTAGTCGCCGCGTCTAATGCTGATAGCACATCGTCAAGAAGTAGTGTTTGAGCGGGAGAATAAACAGCCTAAATGGTCAGTAATAAATAATGAACCACAGGCTGGCTATGAGAAATCTTACTCTCGCCAATGATAATCGAGCTTTTTGTCCACCACTCAGTGTAACGCCTACAGGAGTCAGTGATAAAGAATTTCGTTTCGGTACCAGCATGATTCTCACCCTTTTCACCAACCTAGAAACTCTGACAGTTAGTCTAAATGCAGAAAAAGCCAATAATTGGGCGCACTAGCCTCTGTAAGATCGCCATCCTCATATTTACTTAAGTCTACTGATAAATCACATGCCTCCAGGACGGCATTGTATCTCTTCTCTTCATACTGCTCTCCAAAAAGGATGTTATCGCGAATCGTCTTGTTTTGGAGCCAAGTGGACTGAGCCACATAGGCCACTCCTTCATTTCGAGGAATATATGCGTTGCCGTTCAACAACCTCATCTCTCCCAAAAGTCCTAGCAAAAACGAACTTTTACCAGATCCTACAGGCCCAGAGATTACAGTAAGGCCACCATAAACGCATTCCACATTCATGTTCGAAAGTCGGAAATTGTTATCAGTACTGGAGCCGGGTGATGCCCAGGATAAGGTCGCATCTTTATAAAAGGGCGCGTTCTTTATCAGCTCGGTGGTTGGGTTAATATGGTTACTATATTGAAGTTCTCCTCCAGTCAAGAATTTGTCAATACGGTCAAACGATACAGCAGATTCCAGAACCTAAGACACAGAGTTTTAGTATAGTGGCAGAATTGGCTTCGTAGGGAAGATACGAACAGTTTGAACAGTTGTAGTGATAGAACCTATTACTAGTTAGTTAAAATTCACCTAGACTCTGAGCCTTTTCAATGATACGTACTAGAGTACACTCTAAGCATGCTGAATAAGCTATAGGTTTATTGCGTCAGCAGATGCAGGATACCGCACCAACAATTGGGGGATTAAACCTCATAGATGTGAAAAGAACACTTGGACTCAATGGCTTTTCCATTACTTTAGCATAGATACCTAAGGTTATAAACTACATAGGTTAACACATCATTCATCGCACCCGAGTGTCGAAACTTACCATGCTCATCGTCGGTATCATATATTGCACGAGGCTATAGGAAATCCCAAATAGTAATGTCAATCTATTCATGCGTAATTCCGTTTCTCTCTTTTCATGAATACGTTTTAGAAAAACCCTCTCCATACCAAAGAATTTAATAATCCTTATGGACCCAAGTGCTTCCGTCTAAATGAATTGTAAGTAGATATCATACTTTGAACAAAAAAATAACTTACCATCAGCCCGATCCTTGCATCCACAGCTTTCCGCTGTTGCTTCAAAAGCTTGTGGTAATATCTTAGCATCATTCCAGGCAGTATCATTGTCACGATGACTAAACCTTCACCGACAAAACTAGCCCAACCTAAAAGATCATAGAGAAGTATGACGGTAAAGATAATTCCTATTGGAGTAGATGCAATAAGGTTCAGCACAGAACTAAATATATACGTCAGCTATTACAGAATACTAAAATTATATTCCTTGATGTATACAAAGTTTACCTTGCATTTATCAATCGAGAAACATCAGAATTGATCAATTGGGTAATTTTTCCTATTGCCGGCTGAACAGCATCCTGGTTATCGCCCTCTTCGTTTCCATCTCCCTCTTTGGTCTCTTTGAAATCCGTGATGCGGATCTTTAACGTCTTTTGCATGATACTTTGGGAGACAGCTGCCTCTACATGAAGTACCAAGCTGGAAAAATCAGCAAGGTCCTGTAAATCAAGGAATAATCCCTGACTTACCGTGAAGAGACTAAAGATTGAGTCGCGCCGACTGCTGCATTGATCAAAGGTTCGAAAAAGAGAGCGCTAACGTATACCCATGGCGTAAAGGTAGGTTCGGATGACTTTTCAATATATGCAAGTAATCCTCTCATACATAACGGATTGATAAACTGTTCCACTGTGTTAATTTCGTAATTAGGCGTTCTAATTTAGGGAGATCTATTGATGGGCTTACACTCAAAATGGCGCTCAAGAGGGAGCAAAGCATCATGTAAAGTAGGTCGTATTTTTTTAAAGAAACCAATGCCCAAAAAACGGATGATTTCTGGGTTTTTAGAAATTTGTTGCTCCAAAGCCTTGCACAGTCAGAGTCAGATAGCTTAGGAAGGTCTTCGATTTCAAGGTCATTTTTAAATCCTTTTCGTATCAGTCCTTCGATCCAAGAGAAGGTAATCAAGGAACTAAAAATCGATGCAGTCTAATTCATCAATTAGTTCAAACTTTGTAAATGTATACTAGCTTAGATTTGATACCTGCTCTAGAGTTGCCGTATGATCTGAATATGGGTCCACTGGATACCAAACGCTTGGAGTTATCATCGATAATGACCCGAAAGTGACTGACAAACCAAGGCGCACATAAACTTCCCAGCCCTTTCTTGCCTGTTGTAACACCTCCTGGGATGGGTGAACAAGTATCTTTGGCCACAAATCACGTTCACAGACCAACATTGGAACCAGGAAACTCGCCAACGATACTATAGTAAATATGATCGGTCTATAAGGTGTAGGATAAAAACGAAAAGTAAACAGAGCAAGAAAAAATATCCAGTAAACCAATTCAAAAGCTATATAGGCCGAATTAGCTGGAAGTGCCAAATTATTTCCAAGTGCATGCAAACCTTCTTCAAAGAATGGGATATCACTGCTAATTCTGGATGAGAGAGTTTTGCAACTAACAGCCACAAGCCCTAAAAGACAAAGCTCTTGAATCCATGCTATTTTCAAACGAGCTCCTACACGGCATTAGCAACAAACTCGCTTATGCAACATACTACGAGAAAAACCATTCAAGGGATTTTTACCTGATAGTTCCTCAATTGGTGCTTTTGAGGGCAGTTCATCCTGATCGTATATGCTCAAAAAACCCTTCTTGTTGACGACAATATACGAACAGTAATCCTTGTGGGGCAAAAATGGGATGCCCGTGGCGACCCGTTGCAGAAGTAAGAAGAGCAAGGGAGCAATAATGGCTGTCCCGTAGATCACAGTTCGAAATACGCGTTCGAATTTCCTTACAATTAATCAGTAAATCATATTAAAAACGAACCGGAATGAAACTTACAATTCACTAAATTGATACATTGATGTTTCTTGATGTTTCAATCCCAAGGCATTTTCTGCGGAACTTACCGCACCTTGAACCATCAGATATCTTTCCATGGTTGTCATCGGGCAATTTGATCGGTATGTATGTAGGTAGGTACGCAGCTGCAGTCTTTATGTTCTAGACAGGAGAGATGTAGGGCGCTTAACTGGGAGGGCTCCGCCAAATGAGTAATGACTCGTTTCGTGGATGAAGGGAGCTTAATTATAAGCCCTGGCCGTTTTGTGTGAATTATGTATTGACGAGCCCCTTTCAGTTCTGTTCATATGCATACATAGAAAGAAAGTAGCTGAGCCGCGTAGCCAGGGGCAACCAAAGGGCTAGGGTCTACCACTCACTCGGACATCCGGACAGTTAAACATAATAACATCAACACAGTCGTCCATACGTAGTAGTCACTTGATGAATACTGCCAGTTGATAAAGAGGGAGCGCTTGGGCCAATAGGAATCAAGAAGGACGTTACCTGGAGATGTTGCATCTTGGCTGTTTCTTGCCATACCCCTTTCCAGGTCAATGGCGAACCTAGTTAATTCAACGGCGAAAATACACTTGTTGACCAACCAAAACCGGAGAAACTGGCCTGACACATTTCGAGTATATGTGCTCTGGAAGTGTAATTACAGTATGCCCTCGATGTTTGACTACATGCACGATGTGTGCAGAAAAAACTATATGTACACGTATGTAACAAGCACAAAAAACCAACAAATTTATTATAAAAACAGATAGAATCATGACTTCTATAAAGAAATAACCGTGCAGTATAAAATGGACGAAGAATATTACTAAATAAGGAAGTTGTCTAGCCGCTTTGCATGAATTCTACCGTAATAAGACAACATGATCTTACCCGGCTGGTTTGGCCATCCGTCATTGACCCAGAACATACTGTACATGTAGTTCATGTAATCAACTGGCAGCATTTAAAGTGACTATACCTACGTATACATTAAGTATGTTCTAAACTACATTTAGTATATATACTTCTTCTCAACCAATCACTATCAACTATGGAAACGTAATTGCCAGTTAGCTGGCCGGGCCTTGAATGTTCCTGAGATCGAGATAATACTATATAACTATACCGAATGATACTCCATGATTACATGTACATGTAGTGCTGAATCAGGCTCTGTAAAATGCGTACACCAACAAAAAAAACAGGATGTAGAGAAACCGAAAATTCTATGGGTTATTTCGCCTATTGTTCTGAAAGTTACGCACTGGATATTACCCAAGACTCCACGCCAATATATATGGGATCACATGATTCATAGGATCGTTACTTACATGTAGTACTACATGTAGTACTTTATCGCTGAACTAAACTTTAACCCTTAATTATAAATCTAGTCGCAACCCGCACTCTATGACTATGTATGTATGTGTATTTTCGAGGTAAGCCAAGGGCTTTTCTAAGTGCGATGCTTGCGGACGAATGATTTTTGGGTAATGAAGCTACATGCAGTGAAATCCATAATAGAGCTACTAGCAGGAAATGTGGATACAGAGCGCCCACACCCTGCCAGAGAACTTGGGAACATTCTTCGCACCTCATTTATGCCTTTAAAACTCCATTCTATTATTGAACGCCTCCGCTGTTATCTAAGCTCTCACCTTTATTATATTATTTGACACACACCCCCCCCCCAAAAAAAAAAAAGAAAGAAAAAACCCTCCGAAAAGGATTACTATATCCAGTTATCACTCGAAAAGTATCCAACTAGATAGTTGGCCTAAAAATGGAAGTTTCTTCCCTTGGAAAACGGAGCCTAACGACTTCCCGACTAGATGCCCAATATAGACACCTGTAACAATAGTTACAGGCCATTTCTGCCATTCGCGATCCCAATCTGCAGTAACTCAAGAGTTAGTATTCATTCCTATGTATATAGTAAGCAAAAATTCGAACAGATCACAAACCTAATGGAATAGGAACAGCCCCCAACCAGCCTCCCACAAGGGCCCCCAGAGCACCACCAAATGCCTCATCTATGGGCAAGGTGACTGATACAATATCCCTCCACTTCTGTCCGTCGACACCGTTGGTGTATATTAGGGGAAATGCGACTAGTAAAGCCATATGTGCCGCACATAGAGTTGTGTGCGAAAGGTGTGAGGTTACCGGCGCCCCAAAAAGAACCATGCAGAGGCCTAATATCACCGTCCCTACGGTGGAGGCAAGGAGTAATGATAGAAAAGCTGTCTAGACATAACAGTTAAAACTAGACCTTAGTTTAAGTATAGAGAGAAGGGGGGGGGGGTGTATCTGGTCCGGAAGATGTACCAAAAGCTTGTTACTGATCCCCGTCGCCGCAGCCAGCTGCTCTCCCTTTTTCCCAACCCTTGGCCGCTTTCCTTTCGTAGCACCGTTGCCGTCCAAACAAAGTACAACATACACAGCTTGAGCCACGGTCAAAAGCGGTAATGTCGAGAGGAGAGTGGATGTTGGGTTGAGAACGAGATTCCCAAAGCTCGCATACGACACGCCGGCAATTACCGCACTGTGTAGATGGGTAGCAAAGAACGAGAGGGCGGCTGGAGCGCCGCCACGCTGCGATTTGGAATTTTGGGACGGCATTTGGTGTTGAATTAATTTCGAGATGTATGTCGTAACTGGTAGGTTGAAGGTGTCGTGTAGAGTGGACACCGTTTGGGTTCTAAATTTTGGACAAGCGTGGCCTTCGCTCTTGGCACTGTCTTGGCACACGATCAATGATTCTTGACAGGTAATGTGTACAATTTAGTACTATGGTGCGCACACTCTTAAAGGTGATATGGTGGCATACGGAAGTGGAACAATTGTGGCTGCAATAGGGCCTCATGGGCCAATAAGAGGGCCCATTTCCAGCAATTCTGCTGCATTACTGCCACGGATCAGTCAGATTTGCTTTTCTGGGGTATAAATGGGTATAATACTGTTCCACTTTGTTCAGTCTTGGCGCATTTTACATACAATTTCAACTTCCTAAGGCTTTACAACCCAGACAGATATTAAAATTCTGCAATAATAGAACTAAACTTCATCACTAGTACTAGAGTTCTATCATTACGCTTTTTTTTTACGATTTTTCGTTGAAAAGTTATAAGCCATTGACATTTCGTCGCGATCCGCTACCTTTAAGCGTGGGCGCACCATACGTATGGGCGTAAAAACAAGGCTAAAATATATTTACGTAATTATACATGTAGCTTTTAAGAAGTACCGGAATATAAAATTGAAGCTCTATATATACATGTACATAGGTAATGGATTCGAGGAATACAGCGGGCCTAAACGAGTGACACGACAAAACCCTAAATGAAACAGAGTTCGCAGTACCCTTTGATATTATTTCCCGACTTTACCCCTCACATGTACTCATCTCCGAGTACATGTAATAGCGTATCACATAAGAGAAACGAGCAATGATATCCATAAGTAATTGGGGAAATTCCCTACGTAAAGTACAAAACAGTATATATATCTGCCCCCCATCATTACCGCCAACTCCTCCTCCTCCTCCTCCTCCATCAAAATATAGCGTGATCTACAATACATCTATAATACCTGTTTCATGAGTTTCTTGTTATCACTAAAGTCTGCTTGTATTGTTCCCCAATTACAACTAGTGATACTAGCGAGTATATATACCGTCCGTTCATAGCTGACGATCAATCGATTCTAGGACTTCATATCATGCCGAATATCTACCTATTTCACTTGCCCCTATTTGATAGTAACTCCTCTTTATATCACCACTCACCCGGTACTGATAACCCCCCGCTGTAGCAGGTTAGGCGGAAATAACGACCTAAGTCAACAACTACGCTCAATCTCGAGAATTAATGATTAGATATCCGCACAATATAATAGAGGCAGTGTCTGCCTATGTACAAACTCAACCGCGGAATGGAAATTACAGAAACTATAATCTGTATGTTACCAGATGCTTGGTTGTGCTAAGAATATCAATTTTAATAGGAGGGCCCGTGAATATGACAGCCAAGGTAGAACAAATACAGGTACGAACTTATGATGTGCATTGTAAATACATGTACGTACTACTCTAACATTCCCTATTCCCCTCTTTTATCCTTTGTCCGGTTGACTAACTCCACATGCACCGCTAAGTACTATAGCTATATATAGTACTAGATTCTTCATTAGGAATATATACCTATAGGATAGAATCAAATTGAGAAACATCATAACCTCACAAAGAGTGCATGGGATGTTCTGTTGTTTTTAGTGGTCCCACGCGCTGGAACTATTCTTACTAAATAAGATTGAGAACTCATTGGCATCATAGAAGAGTTGGCGCCAGTAACCAGGCGATACGAAGCTGCTAATTTCACTACCAAAGCTGAGTTTCGGATATGAGTGTGTTAACATACGTATCTTGAGCTTTGACACTGTTTTACATGTTTTATCCCATTCGTTTTGCGTCACATTTGCGCACTCGGTCAACGCCCAGTACCGCAGTATGTAATATGTCTCACTGATCATTAACCCGCATACCAGAACCCCCCACCACTCATATGTACACACTACGAGCCTATACACACATGTACATGTACACGCTTACCAGCGTAAGAACCAGAAAATGCAGTTGCTCAGGGCAAGGATAATTTGTATGGAGTGGCGTCGTTCTCTCATACAAATAATCCCTGTTTCCGTTACTTGCATTTTCTGGTTCTTTTGAGGGTAAGCTGTAGTTAGACGCGGCGTTAACTTCTATATACACTTATATATCAAACGACGAATACAAATATATACCTATCCACCGCCCCAGTCGCCCCCGTTTCACAATTGCAAACAGAGACAACTTCGTTCCATCATTAAACATGTGCCTACATCTGGGTATGTAGAGAAGGTAGTGCACAACTAGTAGGTGAATAGGTAATGTTTCTTACCCCCTTGAATTCTTCCCTTCGCATAAAGTCCCCCAGAACAGCAAACCAAGAATCATTTTGAAAAAGGCTTGTCTTGGAACTGTGTTACCCCTGACAACCCACAAACCGATTCTTTCCCGCTGCGGCCTGCAGGGATTTCTCCTAGTTCCCACAGCAAG